GCTACCACAGCCCAACCAGCCATCATCCCTCCTCCTCATCCTCCTCTCCAGGCATCTCCTTCCTCTCCCTGCAATTCCCTTCCCAGCCCCTTCCATCACCTTTACCTTCCTGAACTCACATCTCTGATTCTCTCTGCACATGTGTGTGTTTTCATTACTTCTGGGTGAAATAACTGACTAGAGGGTCAGACCACCTGAAAATTGCTCTCCCTGGACCGAAATGAAACAGATGGGCATTGATGATGTTTTGGGAGAAATTAACCAGCCTGGACCAGCGGCAGCACCAGCAGCTCCCTCAGCCCAATCTCGCCTAATGAATTCCAAGCTCTCTGTCTTAATAGCTCCTGACAAGACTAATTTACTCGTGTAAGTGATTAGAGGGGGAATGATCTCTTAATTGTTGCTTAAGATCCCTTTCGGCATGGCAGGCACCAGGCAGGGAAGGGCTGGGCTTGATGCTCGGGAAGGCTGTGCTGGGGATGCTATGGGGATGGATGCAGGGAGGGATGCCACAGGGATGGGCACTGTAACAGACCTCACCAAAGGAGACGCTTTTTTTTTCCCAGGGAACAGGCACCACATGCTGTTCTGCTACTCACACTCCAGAGCTAAAAAAAGGTGTTTCCAGACAATGCCTTTTTTTTTTTTTTTTAAGTTAATAAGCCATAACTCAGAAAACACCTACCAACAGCAGGAAACACTGAAACAGTTTGTCAACACTTTTCAGGCTGACATTTCCCTCTGGTGCCTCTGGAAACACAATCCCAAGGTGCCAATATTCTTAAGAGTGAATTTAATTTATATACAGTGTAATACAAAGTTCAAAAGAAAAATAAAACTCAACCCCCAAAGTAATTCCAAGAACAATCTGACTCGCACAATGTCTCACTGGAAAGGCTGTCAGAAATCTTCCCCTATTTTCTGACAAAATAGGACTTCAGTCCAATTCCCACAAGGTATTTCAAGCTCAAGCACTTTGAGAGCAGGGTGCTCCATGAGGAATCATTTCCATTAAGCTGTTCCCAGCCAGCTCTCACTCCTGCTCCCTTCCCAGGACTTATCCTGAGGGTGCACCTCTGTGCAGAGCTCAGCTACCACTCTGGACCCTTTACCGTCTACCCAAACTCACCACCAAGACTTCACATCCTGCCTGGCTGCCCAGACACCACTCCAAATCCCATAGCAGGACACTATGGGCTGCAAATACACAGAAAGGGGGAGCCAAGGAGGGACAGAAGGCTCAGCTGGAAGCCCTGGTTGACCTGAGCAGACACTAGAGACCTCTCCAGAGCCCTCCAACCCTTGACAGGTCTGGTGACAATGTGGGTGCAGCAGGAGCCCTTGTTCAAGGAGGTGCTGCTGAGGCTGCACAGCTGAAGCAGAGGTGAGAAGGGCCCTCTCCAAGCCTCCATCCCAGTCGCCCTCTGCTCCCAATCGATTCCACCTGCATTAGAGCCAGTCACGAGCCCTGATTGAAGACCACAATTTTAATGGACTGAGAGCCTGGAAAGGCTCCAGGAACAGTCGATTTCTGCATTTACTAAAAAACAATCCCTAGCTACAGAAAGAAGGAAAAGCTACGTCTGTCCATCAAAATAAAACCATTCCTTTAGTGCTCTCCCTTCAGTGGTGGCAGCAGAGCACCCTCTGCCCATGGGCACATCCCACTTACCCACAGGTGTGTCCTCGTTGATCAGCAGGTAGGTGTCAAAGAAGTAGTTGATGAAGTATGGCAGCCGATTGCCCTGACCTGGAAGAGGACAAAAGCAAGGAGTTATTCCCTTGGCATGCTGTGCATGGCCCAGCAGAGCTGGGAAAGGCTTGGGAATGGAAAAGAGGACCAGGCTCATGGTGGCAAGGGGCATCTCCCCAAGATGAGGCTAGCAACAACCACTATGAGGTCCCCTGTAGAAGCTGACTGGGGAGCTGCTTCCCCCCACTGCCTTTTCTGGTTCTGGTATTTTCTTTTGCAGGCTGAAAGCAGAGGGGAAGGGAGAAGCCAACAGCACAGGGACCAGGAACATCCATTATTGTTTTAGTGTATGATTAACACCTTCGCTGTGTTCCCACGGTTGAGAGCCTTTCGCCTTGTCAGCCACCCCAGCAAACCCCGAGCCTCCCCTCTCCCAGCACCCGCTCGCCTTTCCCTCTAATTGCCTCCTTTCACCTTTAATAACCAACCTCACTTCGTTCCACTCCCTCTCAAACGGAGCTGGAGCTCCTGAGTCTGCCCCTGGACACAGCCTCATTAGACGATGAGCCAAGTGCAGAGCATGTAGGAGAATGACAACTGAAGCCTGAAGCAGAGACAACCAGGAAAGCTCTCCTGTTCCAGGGATGCATGGAAAGAGGTGGCAGGAGAGGAGCACAACGATTTTCTATTTGGTTTGGTTGAGCATGTTCAGCATCACAATAAGAAACAAGAACCAGGCCAATTTTCAGTATCCTCTTTGCCTGCCCAAGCTCCCAAAGGCAGGAGATACTCCTAAGACCTTTCAAACCCAGGTCCCAGGTGTGCATCCAAACAAACCTGCTCTGGGGGACATGGGCACAGGATGGGGGAGCAGCCCAAGCTCCTCTGGGGCAGCCTCTGTTACAAGACAAGGATTTTTAGCACTACCCTCTTTCCCGAGACATCAGGTTGGTTAAACACCTGGAGAAATGGGTAAGCACTGGAGGCAGTACTGCTGCAAAGGCACATTTAAATCTCAGCCTCTGGAGTTAAGCATCTGGAAAGAAAATGAGAGGGACCCTGACAAAACGGGTTATTTTAGAGCTAACGGCACATCCGGAGGCTTTGAAACACACACGGCACTGCTGCCATGCTCTGAAGGGGGAAATTGAGGCTAAAACACCCCAAGCAGCCCTTGGCACAGAGGACTTGCTGCTGCAAACCCCTCTGTTTCAAAACATTTTTAGTATACTAGTGAAATTAAGAAATGTAAGTTGCACTTTCCAAATCCAGCTGCAGCAGGTGCTGGGAGGCTTCCAAACCACCTGGCACACAGGATCCATGTGTTGAGAGAGAAGAGTGACAAGCACCTGAGAGCTGAGAAATGCTGAAGGAGGGTCTGGAGGCAGGACATGCTTTGGGCTGCAAATCCCAGGATAAAGAGCAAGGCTGTCACTGCCCTGCCAGAGTATCAAAGGGCAGCACAGAATGAGGTGGAGAGAAAGCATCTGGATGATACAAACATGTAGGTCACAAGATGTGTGCTATGATGAATGGCAGACAGCACGCCCAAAATAACAAAGGGACACTGTGGCTGAAGCCACAGCCCCATCAGCCCTGTCCCCCTGGCCAGCCCAAACACATCCCAACCGTGGCTACTTCTATCTCCCCCACAGCCCAGACCACTGCCAAGGTCTGCATCCATGGAATGCCATCAGGAACCTTCTCCCTGTCTCAGATATGGCTGTAAGGTCTTACCCCCACAACCCAGGTACTGCAAAAAGGTATAAAAGCGTGGCAATCATGGGCCTGTTCTTCTAGTTAGCATCCTTTGATCCCTCCTAACCAGGTCTCTGCTCATCTCCAGTGACTACAGTGGTGGCCAGGTAGGAGCAGGGTGACCCCACTGCCATGCCAGAGCTAAACCTTCCTTTTCCAAATACTCTAAGCCTACACACGCTGCACTTGTGTATTTACCCCAGCTCATCACTTCACCAGGACCTTTGCAAATCTCCTGTGAAGAAGAGCTCCATGGCCTGCAGTCCTCAGGGTGTATGGCAGGGTATCCACACACTTTTCCCTATCCCAGGCACAGGAGTTGTGCCAACACTTGCTTATCAAGGAGGTGACAACCAAGCCCTGGGCAGGGTTTAGGATGGAGGGACTGGCACACACTGTTCAGCTACAAGCCTCCAAATCCCTCTTTCCATGTGCTGCCTCTCCAGGGCACTGCAGTTTGCTATTGCAACAAAGAAACAAGTCCCTAACCAAGCAGGCAAAATCCACCATCCCACTTCCAATGGGGCATACTGGACCACTTGTGGCAACTGATCTCTCTGGGGGGCAAAGGAGTTGCTGGGTTGTCTTTTTTACTTGTTTTTTCCCCCTTCCAGAGGAGTGACAGGGCAGTTAACCAGTGAGGCTATACTTGATCCAACACGACACCAGAGGGAGATTGACTGAGCTTGTCAGTCACAGCTAATGTCATCCACTGACTGCTTAATCAGGCTGCCAATCTGGGCAAGCCATCTTGAGGCTTCAGGAGGGGACAAAAGAGGGGAAGAAAAGCCTTTATTCCAAAGGGCACAGTGCTATCAAATGGACACACACTTGCTATTGTTTATCAGCAAGAGCCACACAAGCTCACACCCCTCCAGCCACCCTCTCCCCCACCAGCATCCAGGGGGTTTAGGCCATTCATGCAACAATCCCAATTTTCATGGGGCTTGGCTGTTCTTTTACAGTACTTATGCACCCTGTGATATGCCAAAACCTGTCCCAAAAATGCACATTTTCCACACCAAAAGGCTGTTGTCCCACCAGCTCCCTGCCAGCAGCCCCTGTGCCAGAGAAGACCCAGAGCATCAGTGGGACTCTGCCTGCCCACAGCCCTGCCTTTCCCTCCATCTGGAACGAGAAAAGAGGTTTTACAGCTCAGAGAGGAGTTATTTCCCCACAGCATATATTAAAGCACAGTTCAGGTAATAATTTTGCTGCTGAAAGCACAGGGAGAGCTCTGCCAGCAATACCTCTGCTGTTGAACAGCTAACAAGCTTCTGCTTTACATCCTTGCTCATGATCCACACCCTCTAGCTTTCTTTAGAGTTTATTTACATAAATGCCAGGTCCACCACCAGCTTTCACTTGGTGAATCCACATCTGCAAGTTGCCAAGGGCTTCCCACTGAGATACACCAGGAGCACATACCACCACTGGGTTCACCAGCACATCCATCCTTCCCCAAGGCTCTTTACAGTCCCACCTGCTCTCTCCCAGGAAGGGCCACCTGATGCCATGTGCACCCTTTTACTGACTGCAAGAAAAGCGGGAGCATGATCTGCAGATCCCCAGGACCTCATGTGATGGAGATGGGAGATCTGCTTACCCATACCAGCCACATCCCTGCTTCACCCCAGCAATGCTGCTTTGCATATTCATCAGGAGACCACAAACACAGCAAATACTACCTTCAGACCTTGCAAACATGTGCCCTGAGCAGGGAGAGGAGGAAAGAGAGCCCTGGACAAGCAGCAGTATGACTTACCTGGAGAGACCAGCTCCAGGAGCAGGAGGAGCAGTAGAAGGTTGCCGGCAGCAGTGTGAAGCTTCATGGCTCCTGTCAAAGACGAAAGGCAGTGTCAAATCCAGCACTTTATGGCTATGACCTTGTCTCCCCAAGCTCAGGCTTGGGGGAGCAGCCCTGCCCCAGGTTGTGCCTCAGTGCCCTAACACCACAGGGGTTATTTCACGGTACAACCAGCCCCAACCATCCTCTGGGTGAACACCAAATTGGAGCCAGGATTAACCTGGTGGAGGTGCTCCATTTTTTCCTTCTCCACTTCCCAAAGCATATTGGCTCCTCTCATGTGAGGGGACGAGCCACAGTGACCTCCAGTCAGGACCAGAGCAGCCCCAGCAGAGATGAGCCGCTCAAGCACCGAAGTGAGTTGCTGAGGGTAAGGAAGAGCCGCTGCAACCCAGGAGCAACACAGCAGTGAGCTGTCAGCACCAGGATTTAAGATGATTTGGCAGAGCTGCACAGGAAGCTTGACCCAGAATCACTGGAGAGGCACCAGGATTTGGGAGGACAAAGCAGAGCCCCTCAAGCCTCTCAAACCACCTGGGTGGCTGCAGAACAGGCACTGCAGGAGCACGGGAAGCAGAGAGGTTGGCAAATGTGCCTGCAGCCCTCTCTGCCTCCCAGATTTCCCTGGCTTCATATCCAGTACAGCACAAGGCTCCTCAGGATCAGGCAACACAATATAACAGTACAGCCACATCCTCCCTGGCAGTCAGACCGTCAAATCCAAAGCCTTTTCCAAACCAATCCCACAAAACCTCAGCAAAGCCTCCCTTTGCAAAGAAATTCATACACATGGGTTTTAAAACACTCTACCCCAGGGGCAAGTATAAATCCTATACATTACATGCAGGATGTAGGCACAAGGCAATCCCCAGGCAGCTCAGGCAGAGCCTGAGGCTGACAGGACATCTCAGTGACCCATCTCTGAAGCTCTTCACATTTGTGTGGGTGCTGTGCAAGCTTTGGGGCAGGGAACACGGAAAATCCCACCAGTTCAGCACATCCACACAGCAGCAGCTCCAGGGACAGAGAGCAGAGGTCACAGCCAGCCTTTTGTGCAGCCAGCACAGACATGAACCTGTAGTTAAACACATAAGCAGCTCCTGCTTGAGATCAAGTGCTGGCTGGAGCCAAGAGGGCTAAAAGGAGTAATAAATCATGCTTTCCATTCACCAGCACGAGTGGGGATTTGTGTGTAAAACTGGTTGTGTACGCAAGTTGTGGTTCACCTGGTGCTCGCAGCACTTGGAGAACAGATCACTAAAGCAACAGACCTGAACAAGCTGTTGTGATACATGTGAGTCCCACTTGGGGAGCATCCAGACAGCTCATTCATAAGCCCAGGGCACCACCTTTGCCCACCATTCATGGATCACAGAACGGTTTGGGCCGGAAGGGACCTTAAAGACCATCTAGTTCCAACCCCCTGGCATGGGCAGGGACACCTTCCACTCGACCAGAGTACTCAGAGCCCCATCCAGCCTGGCCTTGGTTAAGTTGCTTCCTCTCTATGCATCCAAAAAGCAGCAACTCAACCTTCCCTTTACAGCATCCTGCTCTATATGGACTAAACAAAACAGCAGCAGACAGAGCTCTCCCAACACAAGGCACTGTGCAGGGCACAAGCTGCAGCTGGGAGCTCAGCTAAGGGTGGAAAGCTCCACACCCCACTGCCCCCTAAGTGATTCATAGGCACCTTCATGGATGCTCCTAAAGGAACTTCAAAGCAATAGCTACACATATTTTATGTCTACTGATGGATGTGCCGAGAGCAGACAGCTCATAACAACTCTGTCACTGCAGGAAGGGCCCTAAATTCTAACTTCTTCATCTGGGAGGAAGAGGTCTGTGCCTAGGCAAGAAAATGGTGCTGTGGTGCATTTTGTGCATCTTCAGGAAATTCAGTGCAAGCCTGAGAAGACATTTGGGCTCAGCACAGCTTCACTTTTAGGTGTATCATGCTAACCACCCCAGAAAACACTGATAGGGCAGGAGAGTTCAAGCCCACCCCATGACAAGGTTCTGACTTTTGAGTGTTTGGTGTCAGCAGAGCATCCAAAAAACCCAGTTTCTGAACACAAATCACCACCTCCCCATGAGCCAGGACTCCTGACAGGCCCTTTATATCTTCACATATGGCCAACAAAAGCAGGATAGATTCTTCGAGTAAAGAAAAAGCACTAAATATCTCAATTTTGCCCTTTAATAGGTTTTGGGGAAAAAAACCTGGACATAAGCAACATCACTGTATCCTGCATCTCCTGACTCCTGCATCCCCCTGGCCAGCATCGAGCCTGGGGGACAGAGCACAAGTTCACAGTGCTGCAGCTAGAGAGGATGGGATGAAACTGAGTTCCTCCGCCTTCTGCTGTGCCAAAATTCCATTGAGGAAAATGCTAACTTTCTTCTCAAACAGCACCACTATCTGCCCAAGTGAGCGGAAACATCATTTTCCAGCCTCACAGCCCATGTTTAAGAAGCAACAGGGCAGTGGGAGAGCGATTTATGTGATGTGGGAATAAAGGCAGCTGACAGCATCCCCTTTCAAGTGTCATGATAAATCTAAATATTGTACATTCCAAGTCAGTCACTTCATTATGTAAGTAATTGCCTGAAATGTCATTTTGATTTTCTCTGTCTTCATTAATATTGCAGCTCTTCACTGGCTCCCCGAGATGGTTCACTCAAATGTTGCAAATGTAAGGAACAGGATCGAGGAGTCTCTGGGGAGAACTTAAAAATTGTGACTAAGAGCATGTTAAATTGCACCTTTTGCCTGGAAGAGGCTCTTTGGGGGAAGCATTCGGTGCAGTTTCCAGCATAATAATGTCTCTGGGCAAGTCACCCCTCGGAACTGTTGTCTCCTGGCTGCCAAAACACTGATGTTCACACAGAGGTTTCCCCATCCACTGGCAGCTGCTCCCTGGGGCACACAGAGCCTCGGTAAGTGATGATGGATGGGAACCAGAAGAGATACCATACTGCAAACGAGTCCAGAGCTCGAAAGTTTAGGAACCAACTCAGGTCAAGCAGAGGCTTTCCAGCCCCCCTTCCCCAAATGCCTCCTCCTTCCCAAGCCCAGGAAATGCCTTTTTTTGCTGCTTAAACCACACTGCTACATCCCTAAATGTGGCAAATCCCACCTGCTCAGCTATGCATGCAGAGCTCGGCCAGCACACACAGCCCTCAGCACACACTCATCCCTGTGCTGCTCCAAGAGCCTTCCCCAGCATCTCACCTCTGCCAAACACCAGAGCAGAGGTGCTCCTGCTGCTCCAGCCTGGGGCCACATATTGCTCGTGGGGTGCTCAAGCATCAGCTTCAGGCTTTGCACCTGTCCTGATTATTTGTAAAGGCACTGCTGGGGCACTCGCATTCACGAGCAGCTCACACACACACAAACATTTCACTGCCTCCATCCGAGCTGTGGATTTGGAGCTTGGCTGGCAGAGATGTTCCATACTGGAGCTACTGTTGGCATCTAATCATTCCCAGACCCCCCTGGCCTTTCTCCCCCCAACCTGGGCTTCCCTTCCCCAAACAGCACTTGCGCCTCAGAATTTACAGCATCAGCCTCTGGTCGCTCCACACTGTGCCAGGAGCATAAAGGAGAAATGAAAATGTAAATCAAAGCCTCTCCCAAACTGCTTCCATGCAAAGAAACTGCATGTGCTTTTCCAAAAAGCCCCTTTTCCAGTGATGAAACACAAACGATGCTCCCAAAGAGGGGAACCTAGCAGTCAGAACTGGCCACCCACAGGATTTGCTCTTGTGGAGGCGGGGTGGAAGTCCCTGAGATGCCACCGTGCCTGTGGCATCCATCCAGCTGCTGGAGAATTCCTCTCTCCCTGGCACACCCACTCACCCCAACTTCCTCTATCACTGTGGCCATCTTGAAAGAGCAGTCAGGAGATGGTCCAGCAAGGACCACCACCAAACATGCAGATTTTGGAATGTGCTGCCCAGGGAGGTTATGGAGGCACCATTCCTGGAGTTTAAGGAAAGACATTGGTACAGGCTGCATAGGGAGGTGGTGGAATCACTTTCCCTGGAGGCATTTAAGGAAAGACTGGATATGGCACTCAGTGCTATGGTCTGGGTGACATGGTGGTGCTAGATCACAGACTGGACTATGATCTCAGAGGTTTTTTCCAACCTTAATGATTCTGTGATCCAAGAAACCATCCCCACAATCCCCTCAGCAAGGCAGTTTGCTCAGCACCAACCCTCACACCAACACCCAGCAGCTCCTGCTCTCCCAGCTTCCCCATCCCTCTGCTCCGCAAAAAAAAGCACCACTAGAAATGCACCTTTTCTTCTGACTACTGCCTCTTGTCCATGGCTTTACAATGAGTAGGATTCAAAGGGAAGAAATTACAAGTTAATTTTGATTTTTCCATCCCCCCATATTGGCATGAGCCACACACAAATCATAATTCCTAAAAATAACAAATTGCAGAACAAGGTAATCAGAGGTAAATTGATATTGATAAATAAGCTTTTCTTCTATGCGGTAGGTGGTTTATTTTAATCTAATGAGTTTTATATTCTCTGAGCTTTCAGCCCCCGTGATGAAGAGCTGTCCACGCTGGAATTACAAAGCACTCTGAAATATTGTAATTTTATGGCTCATTTTGTCAGGACTCTTGAAAATGAGATTTGTTACTAGTGAAAAAATTTGCCCTTTTTTTCTTCTATTCCCTGCAGCGAAGGGAAAAAAAATTTCCTTGTTAAATAAATAGAGGGCAGATACTGTGTGCACATGGAGGGGAGGAGGGATGCCACAGCTGCTGGCACCTGCCATGAACCACCTGAGCCCTAAGATGGTGCCTGCAGGAGGAATAGTGTGGAAGATGCTCTCTCCCTCCACCCCAGAATTAAAGCTGAGATTGGACACAGAGGTGTTTTCTCTCCCTGTACATCCCAGCCAGCATCAGCTGGATAACTCAAACCTTTCTTCTTCCAGGGAAAAAGCTGGAACTCTCACTAAGGACTAGTTACACTAAAGTTTCCCACACTTCCAGCAGTTTACT